GTCTAATTTATCCCTCTTCTGTTTTATAACTTTATTACTTTTTAATTATATTAATTCTGTACAATGTCAGAATTTGTACTTCCCTGGTGGTGTTGACTTCAACTCATATTATACTAGCACTAAAAAATTGTATTATTATGGATTATCCAATTTTTTTTACTTGGATTTATCAAATATAACCCTTGATGGGAATACCGTTATTGATTCATCTAAATGGATTCAAGTCACTACCTATGCAAGTTTCACTCTAGCATATTGGCCATTTTTAGGTGGTATATCAAGCGATAAATTGTTCTTTACTACACCGGCCACTTATGGGACATCCGCAGGATTATTTGTTGATGCATATGACACTACGTTAAACAAATGGGAAACAAATATTAGCTTCACAGGAAACCCTGGCCAAACTTTTTTAGATTTTAAACCCTGGATTACCGATAGAAGTACGGGAAAAACCTATTCGCTTCAATATATTCCCGGCATTATAGAAATTTTTGACACAGTCAATTATGCGTGGACAAACAGTTCAGTAATTCCACAAACATATACAACTTATTTCAGCACATCTTTGTCATCTCTATATGGTCCACCTCAAGTTTTGTTACCAAGTGGCATAATATTATATTTTGCTAGTGAATCGTCTTCATCTATAATTAGTGATACAGCAACGTCAATGGGCAATATATTATCATATAATATCAAGGCAAACTCATGGCAACTTATTGTAAAATCTTTTTTTTATATATTTATGCTTAATTTATTAAATAGCAATGAAATAACTAATTTTTATGTATACTGTAAATATATAGAATACTACAGGTCAGATACCTAGTTTACGTACTGATTACACGGCTGTTTCAGGTAAGTATTACCAAATTCAAAAATAAAAAACTGTAAATGAATGATTATTTACAGTACATTGTTTATTAATTATTAGTTTCAGACGGACGCGTTATTATATATGGTGGAACGAGCAATAAATTAGCTGCCAGTCCATCCATCGTAGTTCTAAATACTTCTAATTATGTGTGGTCAGCGCCATCTGAAGTAAATCCTGTTGGGCCATTAGCTCAACATACCTCTGTTATGGCTAATAATTTTATGATTGCAGCATTTGGTAATTATAATTGTTTTATGTTTAAATGTAATATACTGAATCAAAAAAAATTATTAACATTTCATTGTTATTATCTTAAAGGCATAAATGTGACCGAAAGAAATATTCTTTCACAAAATAATAAAAACATTTATAAATTGGATGTATCAGATCCATTAACTTATAAATGGTCTGTATTATCCATTTATAATGATTTAACTGTGCCGGTACCTATTTCACCAACATACGCAACACCTAATATACCGACATTTAACGGTTTTAACGGTTTTTCGAATTCATCATCCCAATCCTCGAATAATAATAATACTAATTTGCCTATTATCATTGGCGTTACCGCGGGTGTAATCGTTCTTGTATGTTTTATTGTAGTTTTATTCTTTAAGAGAACTCAGCCAAAACTGGATTATATTCCGACAGCTGGTAGCAATCGTGAAATGGATTATCGTGAAATGGATTATATTCCGACAGCTGGTAGCAATCGTGAAATGGATTATATTCCGACACCCGGTAGCAATCGTGAACTGGATTATATTCCGACACCTGGTAACAGAGGTGTCATCTAATGTAACTTAGACCTTTATTATTAATAGAAATATATTTAATGTATTTTAAACTTCCTCATGTATTTTCCGGAAATTATTTGCTCAAATATAGTGAATATAGTGTTAATATTACTGCATATATTAAAATAGCATAAAGAGATACCCATATTTTGGGTTATTACAGTATTTTTGTATATACCTATTTCTGAAAAATGATATAAATCTCAAAATTGTAGGTTCTTATGAAAAAAATTTCTTACAAAATTTTATTAAAAGTTTGCACGTATCCGGAAATGGGAATGTGCTAAAACATACAACTTATTGGATAATTATTTGGCATTTGGTTTCTAAGTATACAAAAATTTTCATTTACAACGAAACAAAGAAAAGATAATTTTACATATCTAAAGAAAATTTTTCTGATATACCAGGAAATTTCAATACAGTTGCAAAGAAACATAGTAGGGTGATTCAAATTTAAGGTTCAGGTTTCTGATTTCAAATTATTATTTATTTCGAAATCAGAAATTTTTAAATCTTATTTATATTGATTTGTAAGCTTATTTATATAATAACAATAATTGTTACTTTTTATGATCGTGAATTTTTTTTTTTTTGAAATTTGATATCTTTTTCATATATTTTAAAATGCCTTATATTAAAGACATAAATAGTATTTTAGAAATACTAATGGAATATTCTAATTGTTGGAATTATTTAGTG